GCACCTATACGTCATTTTTTAAATGTTTATGCAAATACACCTCTCTTTCTTTGTTAAGCTTTTGCAATCCTATAGTTAAAAAATGCACATTGCAAGTTTTCCTATAGGGAATCACACTAACATATGTAGATGTTTTATGCGTTTTCTTCTGGATTTTGAGGGAAACATTCACTATGGACCAATGTAGCTAATGTCACAGGTTACTCAGGAGCGGTTCTTTAAACAAGGATGACATCATTTTCTATACTACTTTTTCATATTATCCTATTTGTGTTTGTCTGTGCCTTTTGAACTGACAGGTTGTGTACATCACACACACTATGCTGGGAGACGGCAGCAGTGACCTGACCACTGTGAGGTCAGCAGGTGGAATCCACAGAGTGAGTGAGGAAAACTGTGAGAGAAGTAAACCTTAGATTTTCCTCATTGTAAGCAAAAACGTCTGTAAACATGTTCATGCACCATAGCCGTGCATTCAATTTACGTATTTTATACCACCCTGAAATGTACAACTTGTTCTTGTTTTGTTGTTGTTCTTCTTCTTCTTCTTGATCACCAAATATTACAAGCATGGAAATACAAATTGTCTACGCAACTTTTCCTTTACAACAACAATATTTGGGTATAGTATACTCGTTGATCAGTGTTATCTACAACAACAACAAAAATATATATGTCTACTTATTATTGCAAGTAAGGAATGAGCCCTAATTATTTAGCCTTCCAAAGGATTTCATTTGAACCTGTTCAGGCTCAGCACTAAACTACTGTATGTGTCACAACATGCCAGTGTATTGATCTTCAAAGATTCATCATGTTTTAGTGTGCAAACACTTCAACGGGCAGGAACTTGTAAATAAACCTTCTGTGTTAAAATGAAATGATTAGTCACACACACTGAAAACCTCAGGTGATTATTGCTACCCTAACCCTAGCTTACCCTCAGTTTTACTCATGTTATGTTGCTTTTTGTTAATCCGTCATGAAATACTGATCCTTTTCAATTTGCTTTGTGAGATATTTTAATAAGAGTCACTTCATAGAGGAGACCCTGGGTCCTCGGGTCTCACCAATGAGCAATAAGAAAACCCCCATGGCTCTTGTGAGCAGGGAGCTCCTGTTCCAGGGGATTGAGAATGTGCTTAAGCCTCCCTCTCCCTGCAATCTCACCTCCAGGCCATCTTTCTAATCAGCTCACCTGCTCAGAGGAGAATTTTGTTTGTTTGTTTGTAGCCTTTATTTAACCAGGTGAAAATCCCATTGAGATCAACGATCTCTTTTTCAAGGGAGACCTGCAGCACATTGGTTACACATTCAAACAACAGAAAACAAAAAGGACATCAATACAACATAATTACGGGGGTATACATTAGCAACCTATTCACAATGACAGATATCTAATAACATTTCATCTATCCAAGCTTTAAAATGATGCAAGGGAACCAAAATGCTCAGTTTAAAAAAAAATTGCATAGTGTTCCAAGCTAGAGGAGCAGCACACATAAAAGCTTTAGTACCTAAAACAGTCCTAGCACTTGGCACATGTAATAAAAACACATCCTGGGATCTCAGGCAATAGCTACTTGCCACTCTCTGTGAGATCAAAGAGCATATATAAGTTGGTAGTTTACCCAACATGGCTTTATAGATAAACATGTACCAATGACTGAGCCTCCGTACAGTTAGTGAAGGCAAACCTGCCTTGGCATACAGGGTACAGTGATGAGTAAGTGCTTTACAGTTAGTAACAAATCTCAGAGCACTGTGATAGGCGGCATCTAACTTTTCCAGGCAATGGGCAGGTGCATTCATATAGATCAAATCACCATAGTCCAGCACAGGTAAAAAGAAAAAAAAGAAAATTCATAACAATTACACAAAATACACACACTGGTCTGCTTCGGTAGTTCTCTGTCTTATGTGACGTGATGATGGAGACAATAACTTTGTAAAAAGTCATAAATGGTAAACTATTATTTAATACAGTGAAACAAAACCAGATCATTTCAAAAGTCTTAAATACAATTTCTATTTTAGAGAAATATATGGATACTGTGTGTGATTTTCTTTTAAGGGGTTTACATGTAATGTCCTTTTCTGTAAATCATTGGGGGATTTGGGTTTTTTAGAAAGTGTTTAGGATTTAGTGAGAACCAAACCTAATGTGCTGTAATGTTCTGTTAGTGGACAAACAATGTATAGTCAACAACACATAGACATTAAAGAGGAATTTCTAAATACATTTATGTTTATATAACTGTCTGATAATGAGCATTTAAACATTTATGTTTTCTGAAAGGCAAGACACAGGTTAATGTCTATAGGAGTCAATGTACATCCATGTTATAATGGTACTTCTGCAGGTGTGTGTGTGTATGTGTGTGAAAGAGAAATAAATCCATAGAAAATACGTTTTTACAATTCTTGGTCGAATGCATTCTGAAATAAAATGAGATGCAATACTGTGTTCTGCATGTATAAATATTCACTGAAGCCCACAGACTTTTTTTGTAATCTATGATGAACCACAATTTGATACGTTGAAGATTCAAATCAATAATACAAAATATAATCAACAAATACTTCATAGTGTACTATGAACGTTTTGGATAAACAGTTTTATTTGTGAGATTCACAAAGTAAGGTCAGCATTTGTAGTTGAAAAATGTTCCTTCTGTTCCAGCTCAAACACGAACAGTGAACACATATTTAAATTGTATAATATTAATTTGAAATGGGCTGTTAGGCAGAATTAGTGCTTTTCTTTTAAATTGATGGGTTGATGCTGATACTTTTCTACTTTTATATAAACAACATTTTGAATGCAGGACTACTACACTCACACCAAGCAACCAGGAACAAACTTCAACTGAAATCAGCTTGTCATTCTTCTAACACTCTAAATAAGTGTTCAACTATCTTGAAACAACGAGGTACACAATAACTATTAAGGCTCCTAAAGAAAATGAATATTTCCCTGAATAATTCATTTGTGGCGGTTCTTATTTAACAAAAGGCAGAGACAATAATGTGTGTGTGTTAACTTTTACCTCACGATTGTCCTCCCTCCATGTGTGTCTTGTCTCCATTTATTTGTTTAAACTGATGTATTTAAACCTAACATTTTATATAAGTCTTATTGTGTAATATCCTTTCTATTTTTTCAAATATATCATAATGTCTGTGGATTATGTAAAACAAAATTGAAGGAAGGAAACCAAACCCTTAACATATCCCAAAAAATACTTTGTGACCTTGTAATGTGTTAACTCTATATTTACAGTTAACTGTGTGTGCATGTTTAGTTTCGGATGATACTATATGTTTCAATATTAATAAGGCTTTTCACACCTTTCATGTAACAGCTGTATAATAAAAGCAAATTGAAATCTTCTATAATGTGTCCTAATTGCTTTTCGTTTAGTGTTCGTGAAAATAACCACAGTATTTATAAGTGTGATGTTTTCCTGAAATAAACACATGAAATAAACATAAATAAAAGCTTGTGAACCTAACATATGTTAAGAAGACACAGAATAAAATGTGTTATGTCTTGTAAAATCCACTTGAGTTTATAAAGTATAATATGTGTAATAATTGCTCTGTGCATATGGTGTTCTGCCTCTATGTGTGTGCGTTTAGTCCAATTACATTCATATTATCCTGAATGTACACAGTGTTAGATAACGATATCTCTTATATCAATGAGGTTTATTCTCAGAAATGACAAATAAAAACAATGAGATAATTGTAAAGAGCTATCCGTCAATATGCTGAATGTCTGACTGTGGAGCACCATCTGATCAAAAGATCTGTATACACCTCTGTGACTTTCCCACTGGTTTAATATGGTTTGTTAATGTCACAAATTAGCTTCTCTCTTCATTCATCAATGTACAACTTAACCAGCTTCATCCACCTCTTTCACACTCCGTCTCACACAGACATCAGGCCTGCTACTCGCCTGTCACGCTCTCCTGGCTATGATGAGCAGCTGGTCCATTTATGTCCGAGATGGCTCTTTAATCTACATTTCATTCAGGTTACTTTGAAAGCCTACAGCCAACAGTTTAGACTCCTGTTTACCATTGCTGCATTTCTATTTTTAGATGCAATGCTCTTATGTAACGCTCACTCTCACATCATGGACGGCTGCTGTCTGCTCCACTTGGCTGAATTGTGTGCTCTGTGGTGTCTGTGTGTGTGTGTGTATTCTAAGTTAGATTTAATTATGTGTTGTTACTTCTTTGAAGAGAGATATCAAATTCAAAAGGAAAAATCCCAAATGCCTTCAAAGCTAAGCATACGTGTTGATGGCAAAAACAAAGTTTATTTTTTACAATGAACACAAAATAACAAATTCAAGACATATCGTGGGCTGTTTTGTAGTTTTACTTTTTACCCACATTTAGACCCCTTTGGTAAAATAGACTCAAAATAATTCTCACCGAATTCTCAGGTTTCATTAGATGTACATGTCATGATGTATTTCTCACGATATTGTGAGTGTATTTCATGAATACTTCTAATGATTGCTATACCAAAAGCCGGCTATATTCCCATAAAACTAATACAATGGATGAACAATTTTAACAGGACACATACTTCTTGTTTTACTTCAAACATTATGGTAAGAGAATATCCTTTTAAGGTATTTCAACCTTCTCAAAATAATAAACCTTTACATTTCAATGTAAAACATTGCACCTCGAATTGCATTTTTTATATAAACAAAACCCAACTTGGCCGATGAGCAACATAATGAGCAGCATGAAGAGAGAATTGGTGACAAAGACATACACTATAAAACAACATGACAGCTAAGGAAATGCCATATCATGTACGACATTATATTCTTTATTTTATTTAAATGTACAAAATACGGGACGGAAGACACGGAGGACTGCGGTATAACACCAGATGGTAGTAAAGCTAAGATACCTTGCTATTTACTAATACGATCAGCTGAAGAAGAAGAAGAGGAACCAATCACAGCCAGCCAAGCTCTAATGCGGAAGTGTCAAACGCGGAAGCAAGCAAAAATCCTTTTTTAGGACGCATGCATTTGCACTTTGAGCACACTTTTATTACATGAATACATACTTTATAAATCCAGGCGTTACTATAAACAGTTAAAGCAGACTTAGGAGTGTGCTGTGCAGGTATGTCGTCCAGCGGAGAAGCAGTGTTCCGGGCGGTGGAGACGCCGCTGCTGGTCCTCGGAGCTCTGACCGCGGCCTGGCTCTCCGTGAGCTCCGTGTATCGGCTGCTGGCCGGGCTCAGGGTGTGGGTGCTGGGCAACGGGAAGCTCGTGTCCCCCACCAGACTGGGGAAATGGGCAGGTAGGTTCTTTATCTGAACTGTATGACCACAGAGAAGAGTGAAACAATTCAAGATAAAATATCATACAGACATAAATAACCAAAGTTATAATTGGAGTCAGTTAATTTATAATTCGTCACATTAATTTCTATTATTAAGTTCATTGCATGTTAAATGTTGGTATAGTAATGTAGTTTCCTGGTTGTTCCCAAGGGGAGCAGAGGTGCACGATAATGCTACTCAGATATAGTATTTAAGTAAAATGATCAGTACCACAGTGGTGAAGTACAGAACAAGTCCTGCAATCAAATGATAACATGTACGTTTTGTCATCTACATGAAGTAGCAAGAGTAAATGTACTCATCATACACAATGGCCCATTTCAGGGTCATGCATATCATTATATTGTATTCACAATATTGTGCACATTACTCCAATGCTGCAACTTGTAAAGACAACGTTTATCCGTCTTATTTACTTTATCTAATTTACTCCTTAATTAGCTTGTGTATTTCCACCTTGTAAGATCAATACAGCTTTATCTTATTATATAATGCTAATCTATATTGCTAATCTATCTTTTATTTGTTGATTTTATTTTGATTTATTTATCTTAATTTAATTTACTTAAAGTATTTATAATAAATGTAGTGGAGTAAGAAGTACATAATTAGCCTTAGAATTGTAGTGGAGAAATAGAAAGTAGCAGAAAATGAAAATTCTCAAGTAAAATACAATAACCTACAAAGTACTTAAAGGTGGGGTAGGTCATTTTGGAGAAACCGGCTCGAGTGCGCTAGAATTTGAAAATACACAACCGGAAAAAATCTGCCACTTCCTTACAGAGCCCCTCCTCCAACACACACGAACGTGCACATGACCAATGAGGGCACGAGATAAGTTTGTGCCCCGATGGAAGGCTGACAGGCAGGTAGGCCAACCAGTTATTTTAGCCGGGCCGGCTAAAATGATTGGTCGTGCTTTTTACAGTACTACGGCTTCCACAGGTGACATTTTTTTATGGATTTTTTGTCAAAGCACTCAAAGCACAGCTATCGGGATGTTAAGAGCATTCCATGGAATATAACAAAAAGTGTATCTCGAGCCAGTTTCTCAAACTTACCTACCCCGCCTTTAAGTACAGTACTTGATGACTTACTTTTGAATCAACTTGAACCATCCTTGTGGTTGTATTAACCAGACATTTACAACCACTGCTCACTGACCCCTTCTGGCTGGAAATGATATTCTGTTGCAACTCTGACCTCTTCCAGAATCTCTGATCTGCTGCAGCTCCGCTTTTAACAATTTCACGCGTCCAGTTGCATTTGCCAATAGTACTATTTTGTGTTTAATCATGGAGCAACAGCTAACATTTGTAAATGTAACTTTTAACTTTAGTCTTTAAATCCTATGGTCTTATCAGCTTTAGCAGTTGAGCAATGAAGCCTTGGAACAGGAGCTGCATTTAGGGAACACTTTCTGCTTTTAATATTTACCCCATAAATACATTTTACAACCTTGTCGGGACAAAGTGAGAGCAATAGCAGAGCAATATATTTAATAGTCGAGAGAGACCATTTTGTTAGTCTAAAATATAATAAACATACATTAGTCCTAACGTGAAAACACTAACTTGAATAAGAAAAAATATTTTCAGTCAAATGGTGTAACTGATTTTGAACATTCTCAATTTAAAACTGTCAGTTATGTGCACAAATAGATGAAGTAATGTTGGAGTGTTGTTCTGGGCACAACACCATGTACAGCACTGTGCTGGTGCACTGTGTCCCAGCTGCATGATAAGTCCACCCTGCCTGTCTCACACTGGTGATTGTGAAGTCTCTCCCTGGTGTTTCTCCAGCACACACATGTGTTACACACTATAGCTCCTTTGTCCCAGCAGCAGACTGCGGTCAGTCTGTGGTCATTTTAACAAGGAATAAAGAAAGGGCAGGGAATGATCAGCCTTTTGTCATCTGGTGTAAACTCGAGTAAATCTTGTCATGGGATTATGGCTCGAAGGGGATTATCAAATCACACTGAATGCTGTCCATCTGTCTAGACGGCTCACTGACTGACCCTTGCAGTTTGAACAGACTGCTGGGATGGATTTGATGTTGTAATGTTGGTGTCCAAGGTTCACATGATAGCATAAAAAACAGTCGGACCACTGGTATTACATACATCTGTATAAGTATTGATATAATCATATAGTAGTTTGGAAGAAAAACCCTTGTTACTAGTCAGCTTTCGGATCAATCTTTCATCCATTTTCAGAGTTTAAATCCCAATCTTGAATCATTGTATGTGTGAATATTGATCGTTTCACTGAGACACTCCCTCTTAAAATATCTGAGCAGTCTTTTTTCAGCCTGTGCAGTCATAGTGGCATCAGGCTGCCAGAGAAACCCAAATGTTGAGAGGATGCGCGCTTTGATCTTTTTTTCTGTAGCTAAAAATGGGAACGCGTCAGACGGGTTTATTTATTTTTGGATCACACATGCAAAATGATTCAGAATATCCGATGAGGCAAACGAGCCCGTTGGCCTCGGCTGCTGCCACTGCCTTCATTCACAACGTTTGTCTTAGCGAGGTGGACTCGATTGAAAAGGGCGGCCTGATTATGTAACCCGAGCCATTCATAAATGAGACGCAGGATCCTCGGGATGCAGGTTCACTGGTACCCACATCTCACTTTCTTGTGTGTGAGTCTGTGGCAGTATAACAGAGAGCCACTATATCCTAATGCTTTTCTGAGACAATGCTTCTATTATTTAAGTTAAGAAACAAAATGTAGAAGGTTTCAGCTACTTCCTCACAATCATGTCACTGCTTGTATATGGAAATATGGTGTCAATTGTGATCTTCTTAGTTATGTATTCGAACTATAAACTATACACAAACATTCAATTACAAACTTGTGAGGGCTTTGGTACCACGTTCATACATTTAAATAGCTTTGTATTATCAACCGGATGATGGGACGAAATAAAAGCTATATTTAGTTTATCAGGGCTCAGTCACTGATGCTAACGCTGACATATGTACTCATACAAATGGTTTCATTTGTTATATAATTACTCATCACCCTGGTGTTTCAGACACAGAAGTTAACAATTGTATTGTTTGAAATGTTACAATAGGGCATGCAATGTTACATTCAATTAAAGCTGCAACAAATGACTATTTGAAATGAAATGACAGAAAATTCCATATGATGATGTCCCGTCTTATATCCGTGAACTTCAAGTGACATCTTCAAATGTTCAAATCCCAAAGATGTTCAGTTTGCTGTTAGATAAATCAGCATTTCATCAAAACAAACAATGGATTATTACAAATCGTTCCGTATTATTTTACACCAATCAACCAATCTTTAAAGGAATCAAGGTTTCCCCTCTACATCACAGTTGGTTGATCACTCTCTGTTTGCTGTTTGCTTTAGATCTCTTCCTAACCAAGGCAGAAAAAATCCCCCCCCCCCGAAGAACGGTGGCAATAATAGCCTCTGTCTCTGCTGTGACGTCTGTACTTCTTCTAATTATGTCACTGTTGACATGTCATTAGCTAGCCCATATGGTCTAATCCTGCCTGTACACTTTGCTTACAGACCACAACGTGCACACATGGCCACACAAAGATTGCGGATATTGGTATAATAAACAAAACATGTCTTCTAGCAAAAATCTCTGCATGACATAGGCCACTAGTGGAGATAAAGCATCTCCGGAAGCAGGGCTGGACTTATTATATATATTTTAGGTGCATATAATTGTGATTTACTTCCAGTCCTTCAATTATGTTCCACAATCGAATGAAGCTGGCTATCAAACCCAATAACCCCATGCGGACACAGAGCAGCTCCATCATCAGAGCACCCAGCCTGTCTAACCTACATTCGGAGAAGACAGCAGTTCCTAAAATAGACTTTGGTTGATTTGACGAGAGGGAACATGCACTCCGCTGTAGAAGCTTCTTTCCTTTTTCTCTGTTCCAACTTCAAATAGTTAATTCTTAAAACCGCTCAGAATAACCCAGCCTATGTTTCCCTAATCATCGTGCCTGCAGACGCCCCATCACTCTTCCCCTCCTCTGCTCCGTGCTATTTTTAGGTGGCCCCAGGATCCCCCATGTTCGTGTTTGTCATTTTCTCCCCTCCCCTCCCCCTCCCCCGCTCCCTCCTGTTTGTCTCCGCTGCAGCCCTAGACGATGCTCGGCACCTCAGCATCATCTGTGCTTAGCAAGATCACAAAAGGGGCACATGTGTACTGCAAAGGGTAGATGGATGGAGCAGTGAGAGAAATATGACATAGTTTGGTGTGATTCCACCAGATATTGATTTAGAAACTCTTCCCAAGTTAAAACATTAGTATTGCGTAATTAAAAATATGAAATGTATGGTTTCGCTGCACTATTTGTACACTTAGAGAGAGAGAGTATTTTACATAACCACATGCCTATAAACAGTAGAACCACAGAAACTCATCTCCTTTTTAAAAATACATATTTAATTAGGAATTACTTAACTAATATGGCAGGTTGATATAATCAAGCTATTTGTTTTGGTATCTTAAAGGAATGGTATGCTCATGACACTCATTTTTAAATAATTATCATCCGATAAAACAGACCAGTCTCTGCCAGTGTTTTTTTTTTTTTTTTAATCCGATGACATTATCAGTGATTTTAAACTGATTAATTACCGAAATAACATCAACACTGTGGGCGGCGCCATTTTACCGGACGTGACGTAAACCATGCGTTTGGTTTGGAGGACACGTTGATGTTCATGTTATTTACTGTAGTTTACTCTCTTCAAATATGCCTCATTGTATCGCGAAACATTGCCACAATTCTGATAGGAACAATCCACGGAATGCTCGGTTCCATCTGTTGCCAAAAGGTAAGCGTAGGAAGTAGTTCGGAGGCAGTGGCTAGCGAAATGTGGCCGGCCCGAACCGAAAGATCCACAGGCGCATGTATGCAGCGAACATTTCAAGTTTCCGGACGACTACTCTGAGAGTATGATAAAACATAACATGGGATTTATTGAACAACCATTACTTAATGGAGATGCAGTACCATCGGTCTTTCTGGTGTCATCACCGACCAGGACACCAGTTCGGCCAGTTGAGAAATCGCCCTCTGCAAGTGTGAAGCGACGGAGGACCAGAAGTAGTGCTCGGAGTAAGAATAAGGTATGTTATAGCGCATTTCCATTGCAGCGGGTAGCCCCGTTTAAACGTCCTTTATCGTCCAGGCCAGGCCAGTTTTTGGTGGCCTTTCCATATAGCGTAGTACCGGCTAGTGGGTATTTTCCCCCAGTTTTTCCGGCCCCATAAAATCGTGGTTCTAGGGCCAGGGACAACGAGGCTGAGTATGCTAAACTAGAGAGGGAATCGCTAGCAAGGGTGGTACTACATGCATACATATCTAGTAATCAAAATCATTGTATCTGCTAAGTAGTACTAAGTAGGCTCGAACCTGTATGGCTGAATTCCCCCTTCCAATCTCTTCATATTGCTCAAAACTTCGCCATGTTTTCGTGTGTTTACCATAGACTGTATATGGTGTTTACAAAGTGAACGCATGGATGACGTCATGACCATCACGTGACTACTGAAAATGGGCAAAATGGCAGCGGCCTGACGGAATATACAGGTTTTGATAAAAAAGAGCTATAAAATCATTATTTACCGGGGAATATCGCTGATTTCTTCAGGGTATGGTTTAAACATAATGTTTCACTAAATACTGAAGTTTTGATTAATTATCTAATGAGTGGAGCATTCCTTTAATTACACTCAAAATATGAATAGGGGGAGGTTGATAGAGTCTCTAACCCAGTGGTCCCCAAACTAAGGCCCGCGGACCGGGTACGGCCCGCCTCCACATTTGGCCCGGCCCCCTGAACAATACCAGAGACGCATTATGATTTTTATTTTTATTTATTTATTTGTTTTCTTTCAGTCTGGCCACGCGAATCCTAGACTAGCCCCTGTCAAAATGTTGTGACCTGCTCTATCGAAATCAGTCGCATTGACCCGAAGACACCTTTTGAGTTGTATACACTGTTGGAAAGAGGATATTCCTAGCTTTCTAATGATATCAGGATTGTTTTTGTACTTCAAATATTAAGCGAAATATGTCACATTATATAATGACTGTCACCGAGTCATCATTTTGAGAAAAAGGCCTTCAAAGTTGTCTCTTCTCTGGAATCCATCGATCTGATTGATTATTAGCGGAGCAAATGATCAAAATACTACCGAGGGAAGATATTTTCGTTTGGAGGGGAAGCTCGCGAGTGTGTGTGTATACGTGTGTGTGAGTGTGTGTGCTTGTGTAATTTTGCGTTTGTGTGTATGTGTTTGTTTCCCGGGGAAAACACTCACGAGAAACACCGGCTGTTGTTATGCCTGCCGTTCTCCGCTTGTAATTATGCCGAAGCTTCAAAGTTGTATTTATCATCTGAATTTGCCGAAACAAGTTTAATATTCTGAAAGCCAAGACTTTGTTTAATTGAAATCAGATGAAAACAAACTGTAACGGACCCTGCAGTGTTATCTATGATTACTATACTCTTACATTCATAATTTCAGCGGAGTGAGGGGGGGGGGCAGCGCTGCGGAAGAGCAGATTGCGAGTGAGAAATAAATAGGAAATAAAAGTTTCATATTCTGAAAGCCAAGACTTTGTTTGTTTAAAATCAAACAAAACACCCGAACCCCGAAAAAATAGTTTTTTTTACGTAAATCCACGTTTATTTTGAGAGATTCTGCTCTGACAACTAAGCTAAACTTTTACCTGTTAAGATTGTGCACGGCACAACAGAAAGTTACAGTAATTTTCAATGGACTTTTTTTCTGTGAAGAACCCAGAGAGGGTTATTTGGTTATTATTTATTTCATAAATAGTGTTATTTATTTCATTAATAGTGTTATTATTTATTCCTGACTTTTTTTCTGTGAAGATCCCGGAAAGGGTTATTAATATTTGGTTATGTGTGGCTTTCTAGAAAACAATAAATGTTTACGTTTAGACACCCATGCGATCGTCACACTTTTTCTGTTACAAACTGACCCGGCCCCCATCAGAGAAGGGAAAAGTTATGTGGCCCTCACAGGAAAAAGTTTGGGGACCCCTGCTCTAACCTAACCGTTTCACTAATAGACGGTTAAACACTTAATATACTAAACATTTGTATGTATGCATTATCAACATTATGTCAACACTAATATCATGGTTATTGTCACTACTGCTTTACATCATATCACGCCTAGTATCAACACTGATTCTGAAAGAGAACAAAGAAGATTCAATGCATTCCTGGTCTAAATACAAAATGGTGAGACTGAATCTTGGACTCATTTTAATGAGACAACTGCATTGACCAATTGGGGTTGCCTTTCAAAAGGCAACCCCAGTTCCTTAACAATTCAAGTTGAACCTGCAGTCTTTCAAATGAAGCACATGCTCCTTTGACATGACTAGAGTAACATGTGTCATTTTACTGCTGTATCTCCCTCTTATGATGATGCCTCCTCCATTAGGGATGCTTCATTCCCCCACAGAGCTGTCTCTGGCTTGCTCTGTCATGTTCTGCTTATGTTCTTTAATTACCTGAATTGTAGTTAAAAACAAAACCAATGGCAGCACACAGGAACAACCAAAAAAACTACTTTTGTCTAAAGTGTTCTAATCTTTCGATGACTAAGACTGATTTGACCTAAACCATAAGTATCCCTCACTCTCACAAGTAGGTCCAAACGAGGAAGAAAACATTTCCATTAAATAAGAACACGATAATAATTACACATAGTACGACCTAAATATACGGGATGTAAGTGTACACAGGAATAGGATGCTCCTTGAGCCGGGCTTTGCAGGTAATTCAGGGACATATCAGAACGCCCTGACCCTCTATCCCACTCGCGCCCACTTTTATATTTAGCCAGAGGTGTGATGAATAGTTCCTTTTTGAAGACGGGAATTGCTAAAAATAGTCTGCTGCTGCTGTTTGTGCCAGGCAGTTCCAGGGCATCCGCTCGCTTCACTGGCGCTGCTGAAGAGAGGACCTCACTCTCTTTATCTCTATCGCTCTTCCTCTCTCTTCGTCCTCCTTATTCCCCTCGTCTGTTCTCCGTGTACCTCGGTATATCTGTCTACACTCCAATGTAGCCCTTTACCCTTACAAGTCAATTCATTTGTATTTTTCGAATGCCTCTTCGAACCTTTGTCCATCATTTTTTCTTTTTTTTGTACTGCCCTTAACACGGAGCCCTTAGCTGTCAAACAGTCCATAACTCTGACATCTTTATCCTTGGATTTCTGTGGCGCTTACTCTCCTGGAGGTGGCGCACTTCATCTGTTCATATGTGGTGCTTTCTTTTTCTGGGCTGTGTTCATATTTGTTTAGAATCTCTATGAGCCTACTCTTCCTGCATGAGTGAAGGCTAATGTAGCAGCAGAATAATACCGATGGTTTGATCCTGAAACATGGCATATAGATAAGTCTAAGAATACAATTTTCAGTTTTGATGAGCTCCAATTGAGCCCACATTTATGCTGATAGAAGTAATCTATAGTCGTTTCTGTATTTTGCATTTTCTTCAGTTAATATGGATGAACATATCTTGCCTCATTAAAGTTTCTGTTTTCATATTTTAAAAGAATGTGATATACAACTTGCTGATTTCAGTCTCTATCTCTTCTTTTTCCTTTTTAGTCGTGACAGGAGCCACAGATGGGATCGGGAAAGCTTACGCAGAAGAGGTATGATTTCCCGGCTCTGGAAAACTTCAGACTCTAACAACACAGGGCCACAGTGAAACTAGATGGGGGGGGGGGGACACCTACGTATTATTACTTAGAACACTTATATTATTACATGGTGTTTTGTACTTGAAGGGGTGGTTTCCTGGTTCTGCAAACATTTCATTTGTCATCATATTGTGTAGCCCTGAGCCTGTTTTTCAGGTCTCAGGCTCGAAAATGACATTCCCAGAACAAATGACCATATCTTCCCTTCTAAAAGGGTTAAATTAATAACCTTTTTTCTCAAAGTAATGATAAACCTGTGAGTTGGATGTAGAAAAGTCAGAATCAATATAGATGTTTTTTATTTTAAAGAAAATTGAGATTGAACATAGTTAAAAAAACTGTAAATTATAGTGTCTGTCCAAAAATTCTTTTTTACTTATAGTGAAAACTACCCTTGGATGATGATAAGCAGTACTCGAGTTGAGGGGGGATGAGGGGGGATGAGGGGGGATGGCATCCCCCCTGAAATAAAAACGGTCAAAATCATCCCCCTTCTAAAACTGCCATCCCCCCTTTCCATCCCTTATGTAATTTTATCAATGGTAATTTTATCACTGGTATTACTGCTATTTCAACATTAATTGTGCGCATTTTGAGTAAAATACTGTGGGCGAGGGAGCACGCACACACGCAATGACATTTTTACAGAGTCACTGACGCTATACTATGCGAGTGCCCTAGAGGGCGCCTGTTTGATCGATGCCAGAAGCGCAGGTAACGGTCATCACAATGGCCAAGCAACCAGGAGGACAACGCGATCTGAGGGACTTCATATTTAAAAATACTAAAAATAACATTTCAGGTAAGTCAATAATCAGTAATCTTAGTCATTACTCACTACTTTAGTCACCAAAGGTGGAATCTATGGACATAAGCAGCAATAACAACTTAGTTTGGAGTTTAGCTACGTTTTTCTCTCGTGTTAGCTAGCTGGTAAGACTCAAAACTGTTGATGAAATGATACCACCAGCACCAGAAGAGCTGAAACCCTTCCTTCAAGCAGTGAACACTCTGGTCATCTCCACAGCTGAGTGTGAACGTGGGTTTAGTCAGATGAACATTTTAACCACAACTAGAAGCTCCCTGGAGGTAAAAAGCATGTCAGCCTTGCTTTTCATCAAGTGTGTTGGCCCTCCACTGAACAAGTTCAGACCAGAGGTATATGTCCAGTGTGCATCTGGACCCGGTAACGACATTACCTATTGACGCAGCAACCACTGTAAGTTATATTCTTGTTTAATTAGACTTCTCTGTTTCATTTATTCGACTCTGTATAAATTGTTATTGTAGCGTAAACGGCTAAATCGCGTTTGAGAGATTTTAAATCTCAGATCTGCTCAGGCGAAACCTGCTTTACAGGTCTCAGCACTCAAGCCTGCATTAATATAGGCACGGCCAGTCTATTGATGGCGTGAAGTACAACCGCGTGACTCAGTCATTTTGTATCTTAAAAAGCATTTAAATACCGCATTTAAAATCTGATGAACTCAGTGTGCATCTGGACCCGGGTGACGACATTACCTATTGACGCAGCAACCACTGTAAGTTATATTCTTGTTTAATTAGACTTCTCTGTTTCATTTATTCGACTCTGTATACATTGTTATTGTAGCGTAAACGGCTAAATCGCGTTTGAGAGATTTTAAATCTCAGATCTGCTCAGGCGAACCTGCTTTACAGGTCTCAGCACTCAAGCCTGCATTAATATAGGCACGGCCAGTCTATTGTCGCCCATCAGCTGTATATAGTTAACTAATTAGAGGGCCGTGGCCCTACAGCTGTGAGAACTGAGCAATCAGGCGTCCATTTCGGGTAGCTCTTTCCTGGAGTGTCAGCTTCAGCGTCAGACAGCCGAAGACTGACAAAGACATTGGAGTCCTGCGGGAGTAACGGCCCGTACACACAGCAGCTGTTGGCGATTTGTCCACCGCTTCCAGCGCGTCTCCGCCCATTGACTTTGAATGGGGATGACGTCACTTTCCCTCGCTTGTCGCCGAACTGCATTGTGGGGGGGCGAGGCGAAGATTTCCAGGATTTCCAGGATGTTCAGGATTCCAAAGTTGAACAATGTTCAACTTTTGAGGCTGAGCTGGAAGCGACAGCCAATCAGATCCGTTTATGCAAATCTGACATTTCAAGCGCTAGCCAATCAAACCGCGTGCAAGCTGGGAGAACCAGACCCGCAGTTCATTTCTATATTCCACAAAAATGGAGGAGAACTTAGTTATTGCGGTAGCAAATCACCCGGTTCTTTATGACCAGTCCCTATTTACTTACCGGGATACAAACCGGAGGAACCAGGCATGGAGGGAGGTGGCAGAGGCAGTGGATGAAACTGGTAGGTTTTCGCTTGTTTGGGGATTTTATATCCAGTTTACTTCGTTGCTAGTTTACTTCGTTGCTAGCAAGCATATACAGTATCATTAGCCAGCATGGAAATGTAGCATAAAATAGCACCATAAACATTAATCTCATAAATGTTAAAAAAATAAATGTTCATCATAGCCCTTCCTATTTGACAATAGTGTAGATTAGAAGAACCGGGTTTTTTTGCTTTGTATGTCGGGGGCGGGATATTCATGTGATATTCATGTGATTGGTTGTTGGTCGCGAAATCCCCAAGCTGTCAGACACGCCCAGCTCCAGGATTTTCAAGATTTGGTCAAAGCTGCTGTGTGGACACACCGTAAGACTGACAAAGACATTGGAGTCCTGCGGGAGTCACGAGGGAGGCAAAGAGGAGGCAAATCCTACTCTGATCGAGCTGGTGTCTTATTTCTCTTTTCTTTAGTTTTCTAGCCCCGCATGCTATAATCATGTGTATTTTCTCTATTCCTGTTCATGTGTCTTCTCGCAATTATCACTGGCCCCGTGTATCTCCTAATCGATATAACCGGCCTGCTCTCGTCTATCCCACGTGCTCCACTGAGATCCAACATCTAGTTTCTGGTGGCCTGTGGAATTGCCAGTCAGCTGTTCCTAAGGCTGACTTCATCTCTGGCTACGCCTCCCTGCAGTCTCTGGATTTCCTTGCTCTCACTGAGACCTGGATTACTCCATCCAACACATCCACCCCAGCAGCTCTCTCCACTGCATATTCCTTCTCCCATACACCCAGACCCACTGGCAGAGGAGGTGGCACTGGTCTCCTGCTCTCTCCCAAATGGAGCTTTTCCCTCTTCAAGCTACCTAACTTCACTCCTTCCACCTTTGAATTCCATGCCGTCACAGTAACCCATCCTATACAGTTAACCATTGTTGTTCTCTACCGTCCACCAGGCGCCTTGGGGGACTTCTTGGAGGAATTAGATAATCTCCTCTCACTCATCCCTGAAACTGGCCCTCCCGCTGTACTTCTCGGAGACTTCAACCTCCAGACGGGGAAGATAGACAGACTAACATCTCTGTTAACCGCCTTTGCTTTCTCACTGTCTCCGTCCCCACCGACTCATAAAGCTGGCAATGTCCTTGATCTCATATTCTCAAGGAACTGCGCTACTTCTAACCTCTCTGTAAACCTCCTCTTTCTCTGCTTCAATCTCTCAGGCAAAAAGCACTTTCTTTCAAGATAAGATCCAATCTTCCTATTCCAATCCTAAAAAACTATTTTCCATCTTCTCCACCCTCTTGGACCCTCCAAAAGCTCCTCCCCCCTCCTCACTTCTGTCAAGCGACTTTGTTACCCACTTTGAAAAAAAGGTTGATGATATTCGCTCTTCTTTTTCTGACTCACCTTTACTCACCGCTGGGTCACCAGACCCTCCTACCACCAACACACTAACCTCCTTTTCCCCTCTCTCTCCAAGTGAGGTTCTTACCCTCATTACCTCTGCCCGCCCTACCACCTGTCCTCTGGACCCTATCCCTTCAAACCTCCTTCAGACTATCGCTCCTGATATTCTACCGTTTCTCACCCATTTCATCAACACTTGTCTAACTTCTGGTCACTTTCCAAACAGTCTCAAGGAGGCAAGAGTAAACCCTCTCCTAAAGAAACCCACTCTCAACCCGTCTGATGTTATAAACTACAGGCCTGTCTCTCTCCTCCCGTTCCTTTCTAAATCACTTGAACGCACTGTCTTTAAACAACTCTCCTGTTATCTCAATCAGAACAACCTTCTGGATCCGCACCAGTCTGGTTTCAAGGCAGGTCACTCCACAGAAACTGCTCTCATTGCTGTCACGGAGGAACTGCACACTGCCAAAACTGCATCCCTCTCCTCTGTCATCATCCTATTGGACCTGTCTGCTGCATTCGACACGGTGTGAATCATCAGATCCTCCTTCGCACTCTCCAAAAACTTGGAGTTTCAGGCTCTGCACTTTCCCTCCTCACCTCATACCTGAAAGACCGTACCTACAGGGTGACTTGGAGAGGGTCTGAGTCCGACCCTTGTCAATTAACTACGGGGGTCCCTCAGGGCTCTGTTCTTGGTCCCCTCCTCTTCTCCCTGTACACAAACTCGCTCGGATCAGTCATTAGCCCGCATGGTTTTTCTTACCACTGCTACGCTGATGACACCCAATTAATTCTGTCCTTTCCCCGCTCAGAGACCCAGGTCGTTGCACGCATCTCTGCTTGTCTAGCTGACATCTCTCAGTGGATGTCTGCTCACCACCTCAAGCTCAACCTTGACAAGACTGAGCTGCTCTTCCTCCCGGGAAAAGATTGTCCCACTCTTGACCTAACAATCAACATCGGCACCTCAGTTGTTTCCCCCGACTCAGACTGCAAGGAATCTGGGTGTGACCCTAGATAACAACCTGTCCTTCACTGCAAACATCGCTGCTACAACCCGTTGCTGCAGATACACGCTTTACAACATCAGGAAGATACGTCCCCAGCTGACACAGAAAGCGACTCAGGTTCTGGTCCAGGCTCTCGTCATCTCACGCCTGGCTGGTCTACCTGCATGTGCCATCCGACCTCTGCAGCTCATCCAGAATGCAGCGGCTCGTCTGGTCTTCAACCTTCCTAAATTCTCCCACACCACTCCGCTCCTCCGCTCCCTTCACTGGCTTCCGGTAACTGCTAGAATCCACTTCAAGACACTGGTACTTGCTTACCATGCTGCGAATGGATCTGGCCCTTCGTACATCCAGGACATGGTTAAACCGTACACCCCAGCGCGTGCACTACACTCTGCATCAGCCAAACGACTCGTTGCGCCCTCGCTGCGAGGGGGACCCAAGTTCCCATCAGCGAAAACACGTGGGTTTGCTGTCCTGGCTCCAAGATGGTGGAATGAGCTCCCCATTGACATCAGGACGGCAGATAGCTTGCACATCTTCTGGCGCAAACTGAAAACTCATCTCTTTCGACTCCACTTCGAGCGTTAGAACTATTAACGAAGCACTTTTATACTAATAAAGGACTGGCTTATCTAAAGCCAGTTGAGTAGCACTTGAAATGTTTGGCTCTATGAAACCTGATGTACTTATATGATTCTGTTTTCTTCAAGGTTGTGTCTTCCTGGTCGAATGTACTTATTGTAAGTCGCTTTGGATAAAAGCGTCAGCTAAATGCAATGTAATGTAATGTCAAGACTTGGCTTCAAAGCCATTGCTTAGCTAACAATCCGAAAGCAAGAGCCAGAAAAATTGAGACCAAAAAGCATGATTATGAAAATCTTTGGAAACTTCTATGAGATGGGGGAGAGTGGAGTAGGCAGCCATTGACAACATTGGTCCTATTTTGTATTATCTGTATAATCTTTTAATATATTTTCATATTTCGTAAACAATTTCAATTTGCACTTAATGCCCTGTTCCTAAAAAATTTCATGAAGAATTTACATAATGATTTAATTAATTACGATACAAATGTAACCCTTTAGATACCAGTTTTGATCGTATACCAGTAACTGCTTTTTTGAAAAAATACACTATAATTCAATATTCTAAAAACTATTTTTACTTTATTATTAGTATAATGATCCATCTGAATAATAAATGAGGGACTGTTAACCTACAAGATTTGTACCATATACTTCATTATAACCAAATGTTTGTATTCCCTTCCCCCCTTTTAAATTAAAGTGAAAAAAATATTTTGCCCTAATTGTCCCCTGCATTTGACCCTAAATGTTATTCTACTCTAATTCTGAGGTGCCTTGGTCAAGAGCAATGAAAGGAGTATCTGAACATCCATAACATGCATGTTGTTTTAGGAGTATAATAATTATCTTTATGCTGGTAGGTCTCCCACCCTTGGCGGGTTATCAGCACAAATGATGTCCCCATATGATCAAATCCACCATCCCCCCTGATTTTTTTTTTACAACTTGAGTACTGATGATAAGGTAGACTAAAAGCTTTAGGACTCCAAATTACAACATATAATAAGTACCCTGTATCAAGATTGATGCAAAACAAGTGACATTTGACCTTTTTAGAGAGATTTAGCAAAATAAACTCCACCTCTGAGGTGATTTGGGTGGAAATGGGGATTTTACCATTTCTCTGGAACCCATTGGTCGATTTTGGTGATTGACATCTCTTTCTGACCGTTAGAGCCAATAGAATCGAAGGGGAATCTCCCCACTCACGCACAGTCTAAAACAAAAAGGTGTGGGCTTCGCGCACGCAGTTTTGCACCAGAGTGAAGCTGTATCTAGGTCTGACTTCTAGAAACGGAAACGCAGGTTTATTGTTTATGGATTATCAGAAATCATGTCAAAGTGACACAGACACATTGGATTAACCTATGGATTAACTTCAGCAGCGTTTTTTATCGTTTTAATGCCATTGAAGACCACTTTTGACCAGACTACGACACAGGTGAGCCATGTTAGCGTTTTTAGCTACCTAGTGCCATATGTTTTGATGTCTGTTCTTGTTATTATCTCCGCGAGTTCGTATAATTGAGTGATAATGAGGGTACCCTTCGATTCTGTGTCACCTCCTATGGTCACCTTACGATGTGAAAAGATGGGTTGGATGTGCAGCAAAGATAAATAATAAGGTTTTGTGAGTGAATTTCGGTGCAGGCATCTGTTAGCATTTTTCGCTCGTTGCTAATTCAGAGGCTCAGCGTTAGCATTGTGGAGTTTATAAAAAAAAAAAATTAAAAAAAAAAGATCAGTTAGATGAGTTTCTTCCCGTTACATGGATATAAAACATTCATAGTTTATTAAATGAACATGCCCTCAGACACTGTTTCCTGCAAGATTATTATTATTTATTGTCTGTTTATTGTATGTTGAATTGTATGGAACAAGCTGTAATACTCTGCACTGAACACAAATTCCACCAGCCTGGCTGTGTGGTCATTAAAGATTATAATCTAATATAATATTGCGGCAGTGCCCCGGTACCGGAGTCTCTCGGGCTTAACAGGTTAAGACTTACAAGATTTATTTTCTTGCGCCGGAATATAAAGGCTTCTTCAAACGGTCCCTTTGTGCTTTCAGATCCATGCCTTCAAGATGAATCTTATTCAATTCCAAAGTAACATTTTAGGAGTGCTGGCCAAAACAAAATGTTCAGATAAAATAAAAAAGAATTGCTTTTTTGCCTTTTGAGATGTTTAGAACTAAAATGGCAGGTCAAAATCTAATGTACAAGATTAAACAAATCAAGACTTCAACTCCATAACTCTATTTTAAAGCACAACTTTGAATGAAGCGGTAAATATCCCATAAATAACTTTTTAGCTTCCACCCTGTTTCCAGCAAACTGAGTGCTAAAATAGTTCATGATTGAATTTCACAATGTCACCTGTGTTGCTTTATTGACATGTTGTTTGTGTTTACAGCTCGCCCGCAGAGGCTTTGCCATCGTGCTGATCAGCCGCTCTCAGGAGAAGCTGGATGACGTTTCAAAGGCGATCGGTGAGTTGCCTGAATTATTTTTATTTTGATAAACACAGTGATTGCAGACAAATGTTGCCCAACTTGGAAAATGAATGCATAGTAAAGTTCTCTTTAGATGAGTAGCATATCAATCATGGTGAAATACATGCTTTATCATAATATGACTACTTAATCCTTCAATCTAATTAATCCCACATGTTACAGTGGGGGGGGATCAAGAGTACCTGTGGCTCAAAGGCACAGGACTGATGTAGTTCATGTGTTGAAATAAGACAGCTGCTAAAGTGAAGCTCAGTCTTAATGATCCACACAGCCTCATTTATCCTGCATGTGAAATGGTGCATCCATATTGCACTGTGATAGGGCAGCAGGGCTAAATGACTAAGACTAAATGATATTACATTGAGTTGCAGGTTTTCCATCAGTGAGCCCTTATTGAGTGGAGATTGAGCAGGACCCCTGTGCTTTGGCTAGGAGGCAGTAAAGCCTCCTGCTGGAGCTTAAATGGAATCTGTCCATTTAAATGAAAGCTTCATCTTAAGGGAGGGATATCCTCATTGATGAAGATGGATTATCTCAGGGTTTAATTTTTTCTCCTCTGCTCTTCCTTTTTCATGTGACTATTTGTAAGAAAAAGAGTCAAGCTTTAAACACTTAAAATGTTGCAAAATGAAAATATGTTGTGTCTCAGCGAGTAAATGTGGCGTGGAGACCAAAACGATCGCAGCAGACTTCAGCGCCGTAGATATCTACTCCAGGATTGAAGATGGACTTGCAGGACTGGAGATCGGAGTATTGGGTAAGACTTAGGCCACCTCACTTTGAATTATTTTCCCATTTGAGATCCCAAAGTCAATCTAAATCAAGAACTGCAGACTTAAGGAATGCTTTAAACTCCACTCTATTAAATGTCAGTTTTTCATGTAATCATAGAGGTTAATTTATCCTGGTTCTTCAGCCCTTTGCTGCCCTCCTAAGATAAGAAAGAGGAACAACACTCTGAACTCATTAACATCTTCTTATGTAGTATTATGTACTATTTGTATTATGTCACAGTCCTGTTTGTTATCTCTTGTTTATAGTCAACAATGTTGGAATATCCTATTCTTACCCTGAATTCTTCCTCAACGTTCCCGACCTGGAGACTGTAAGTTTGATGGTTATTATTATTCTATTAGCCATGAATTTATAAAGGATTATATTTATAATATCACGCAGTCTTGTGAAGATTAAAAAGGATGTTTTGGGCTCAAATGATTCTTTCAGCCTTACATTGAATAGGCAACTCATGCAATCAGAACCACGCTTCAGACATAATGAAACTGGATAGTGTGGCCATCTCAGTACGATTTTAAATATGAACTGGAAAATGCTTTCATTGTTTGTAACATAATGCAGTTAAACTATCTTGTCTGCATAAAGCAATCCTATGCCTTCTGCTGAAAGAAGGCTAATATCGCACATACTAAAGAGCAGTATATCATAAGTACAATAGAGCTCTAAAAATACAACTGCAATTTCCACCTACATTTAGCTAATATTGGCCACCATTAGCTTCTGGTGGTTATCCAGGCTAAGAAAGATTGCAGGAGCACCATCCAATTGAGCAACAGTGAGTTTTATTGCTTAAGAATTACATTTCTCATTTGTACGATAATGTGTATGCTGGTTCATATTTAAGATTTACATAGTGACAGCCCTTGTCTATCTTCTTGTGCTATAATAAATAACAAGACGACATCTAAATCTGCAGTACAAATATAATTGTGTACATTTCTGAACAATATGTGTATGTTAAACACCCTGGTTGAAGCAAAGCTCCTGTTCTTCTTGTTTCAGTTCATCGACACCATGGTCAACATCAACATAACGTCCGTGTGCCACGTGAGTGTGATCTAAAACCTTGATGTGTCATTGGAGCTTTTTGACTCACCAAAAAAAGACATTTTAGTGTCAAAGATGAAACAAATCAAACCAATAAGTATTTCCCCTTTCAAGTTGAAATTTACTTCAGGCACTTTTGGCAGTGATTCCAGGCAACTGTCTGCGTTTTATTCAAGTTCAAAGTAATAGAAAATGATAAAGTTTAAGCGGTGCTAAAATGATTTTGAAGACACTTGGTTTATATTATCATAATTAGTGGATCGCCCTGCTCAAAATGCACTTTGTGGATATTGACTCATTAATGTGTGTTGTATGTCTCACTGTGGCATCTGGGTTGCCTTTTAAATAATTAAGTTTCTCCAAGTAGATTCAAATGGATGACATAGTTTGAGATCCACTGTCAGATAGTCCCACAGTCCATAAACCCACTCACACACACACACTCGTGGAAAGTTTAGTAAGTCACTTCCGTCGCTCTTTCCCAGAGCAGCAGCTAAAGTCCACCCCCTCTCTTTACACCTAATTTATGTCATCAATATTTCTTCAAACTGCTCCCTCTGCGGTCATTATCAGTCCCTTTCTCTTCTTCTCTTCCCTCCACGACCACCTCTCCGAAAACTACCCACACACGGTTACAAATGTTTATGCACACCTCCGCATACTTATCCACGACCCACACATCAACAGACCATTTTTTGTCAGTCTAATGCTTTCGCTATGTTTCTCACACTTCATCTCTCTTCCCACTGTTTATCCCAGATGACACGACTTGTTTTACCTCGAATGGTGGAGAGGTGAGATGTGTGATTTCAACAATAATTGCTTTGCTGATACAATACTGTGATTGGTAGTAATTACCGCCGGCACAAATGGTACAATCAGGTGCTATAGAGAGCTTTGACTTGAGTGCTTGGTTTCGTGTTAATCAATGACTACCTTTCAAATTAATTGTTCTTTTCCCATTATACACCTGAACATGTGTGTGAAATACAAAGGCTGAAGGATAGTTTAGGAATATTTTGGGAAATATGCATATTCATTTTCTTCCCTGCGCATTGTTCTAAAAGTGTAGCTGGAGGTTTTGCACTCTTTCCAAAGTTTAAAAAACTCTGCCTTCAGTGTTCTATCGTAATGATTTCATCAGTACATGAACTGAAGTGTAATCTCATAGTGGTTGTATGACGGTTTTTTGCCAAACTACTTCTATGGAGCGAATTCCTTTTTAATAAGCACATTTCCCACAATGTTTAACCCTTCCTTTTATTTCACTGAAGATGATATCAACAATTTATCTTCCATATTTTGATTTAAATTGTGACATTGATTTGAACTGTATCAACCACCACAGGATCCCATAATGCATCTTAGTGACCCGTTTATACAATAACTCAAAGGACAACAAAGCTGTTAACATATTGCACACTCAACAACCTGTGCATGTCTTAATAAACTTGACCTTAAAACTGCTTGTTATTTGCAATAGCTCTATAGAAACATTATTTTAATTGACAACACTATTACTTTAAAAGGAATATAGTCTCTTTTATAAATAACATACTGTACCATCTGTTACATTGGGTATTGTCATGTGACAGAATCTTTAACTCTGCTTTACAGCTGACTTATACAGGTTTCAGATATTTCTTGTAGCTGAGGGAAAGTAAGTCTGAAGGCTGTCACTTGCCTGGCCATCATATACACATCCAAAATGTCATCCACCTCTTGGTTATATTAAATATTGTATGAACACACCACAGGCTGTAGCAAAGTATATCAACACTTATACATTGAGGAATTGATGTTACAGTATCTTTGATCAATATCTACCATCTCTTCTTCACAATACAAATGGAGCAGTTTTGCTTCAGTTCACACACACACACACACACACACACACACACACACACACACACACACACACACAGTGCCATGTTCTCCTATCATACTGCGATTGATTTCAGGCAGTTTTTATTCAGAGTAAAGGATCCTCTGCTTATATTCCTGTGTTTCCAGGAAGAAGGGTGCCATCCTCAACATCTCCTCTGCCAGTGGGATGTACCCCTTCCCTCTCCTTACTGTCTACTCTGCCTCTAAGGTAATTGGAGGACATGGTTTATGGCCTTTTCTTCAAGTGTTAACTGACATGTTTTCGATAGACGCATCCCAGGACCATTAGCGGTTTACATCCTGCGCTCCATGAGGAGGAATCCATCTTCTTCCTCATGTTAGGAGTTGGTCTCTCTAGTCCAGAGGTGTCAAACTCACTTTCATCAAGGGCCACATTAGCATTATGGTTGCACTCAAAGGGCCGGTTGTAACTTTAAGCTCACTGCACATATTTGATTCCATTCTATTTCTATGTAAATACTGCTATATTTTAATACATTTGTTATATTTTTTATTATATTTTTTCATGTTATTATAGTTTTCTTAAAATAGTTCTCTATCTGTGTTTTTAATTTTTGTTTTACTTTTATATATGCACCACAACACCAAGTCAAATTCCTCGTACGTGTCAACCTACCTGGTAATAAACCTGTTTCTGATTGTGATTCTGAAGACTAAATAAATATATATATATAAAATAAAATATTATATTACATTATTGGCTCTGCATTGGATTATTATCAGTTCTGGTAATAACTTCATAATTAACTACGTCTGAAAGCAGAAGTCTAGGGCAAATAATTGAAAGCAAATATTCAACAATTACACCAATTGTATTATATTCTTTGCAAGCTCTTGCGGGCCACATAAAATGAGGTCGCGGGCCGGATTTGGCCCACGGGCCTTGAGTTTGACACACCTGCTCATAGTCCTCTAACTAACACACACTGAGGCACTACCGATGAAGATTAACGTTTGTTCAGCCTTTATTTGGACGCAGGGATAAAGTGTCCTTTTTCATATTTGCCGTTTTAATTGTTGAACATAAATAAGTCTCTGACTAACTCCGGGTCCCGAGGTAGTGTACCAATTAAAAAATGTTTATAGGAGCATATGGCGTCATAATATTTTATAACGGTCTCATGTGTCTTTGTTAGCTTAAAAACCGCCTGCTGCTCACACTTTCAGCTGATTAATTTGTGTCTTAATTCTGGGCCATGTTTATCTACATAATCCTTCAATCTGCAACACAGGTTTAAAAGTTCATCAAAAATCCATCCAGGTTCAATCTTTAGTTTAATGTGCACTTTAACGATCGTCTCAGTTCATTACACTTTAACATTGTGACAGCAATGTGTACGTGAATGTGTTTTTATGTTTGTTGCCATCTTTATTTGACTGGAATTGTAGACTTAATGACCTGCTTTTGTCTTAAACAGGCATTTGTGGACTTCTTTTCACGAGGACTGCAAGCTGAATACAAGAGCAAAGGCATCATCATCCAGGTAGATGAGCCAACCTCAGTTTTCCTTCAGACATGCTTTGGATGATGAAGGTTCATAACGATAGTTCGTACATGCAAAAGGCAATTTTAAGGAGACCTTTTATGAACCCCCTTCTTCCAGCCACAGTTAGAAAACTGCCTTTGCAAAATAAATCCTATTTTTTTTCCAAGCCAATCGGAGCAGACTGGGCTTTTTTTGGGAGCGTAGCTTAAAGAGACGGGTGCCTAAACAGATCTTTCAGGCAGTGGGTAAATACAGGTAATCAGTCAGACAGTGCAAGATAAGTAGGAATCTAAAAATGAGCACTGTATCCCATTCAAGGCTTATAGAAAATGAAATGTGGTTTCAACAATGTATCAATACTCTTAACATGCTACCAAACACGACATGCTGTTTGTTCACGTGTGTTTGTCCTTTTTTGTTCCCCCCAGAGTGTTCTGCCATTTTTTGTTGCAACCAAGCTGAGTAAAATCCGGCGTGCTACACTGGACAAGCCCAGTCCAGAGCGCTACGTGTCAGCCGAGCTCAACACAGTGGGTCTGCAGACCCAGACCAATGGCTACCTGCCACATGCCATTATGGTAAGTCTTGGTATGTAACGTTAGGATTAAAGCACAGAGGGCTACCATTTTGTGACCATTTCTTGGGGGAAAAAGGTGCGGTGATTCAGTGAAATTCAATCTTCGTTGGTCCTCTATCTGTTCTGCTCTGCTTTATTTAATGTTTGGCACAAACTTCCCGTAGATGTTTCCCATCTTTTGGAAACTGGTGTTAACTCTAACTGAAGAACTGCACTGTGTTGTTAGATGCGTGTTCACAACTCACTCACCACTCAGAATGACTCAAGATCAGAAGAAAGAGCCAGTTGGAACTTTAAATCCTACTGCAGGCCAGATCTTCCTCCGCATATTGTTGTACATTTATATAATCAGCATGATGTAGCAAAAGCGTCCTCTAAAATCTAAATACCTGGCAGTTTAGTCTGAATTCTAACACTGAAATTATTCTGTAGGGACACGAGCAGCAGAAAGTTCAGTGTGACATTTCTCCAGTTCCTCCACTTTGTGTTAGACGCTGCTGAACAACGTCTCCCTAATATCAACACTAATGTTCTTTATCAGCTTATAAAAGCCTTTGTGGATACTGCACACTCACTGGATATGGTCCAGATACTGTGAACTCAGCACAGATCTTCCCTGTCACTAGCTCTGATATTACACTAAACCAAAAGCTGCAGACAAGCAGCGTCTGCTCTGATTATCTGATAATCCCTCTGCCTTCAATTGTGCAGCACAGCTCTGCCCGTCTCACAGTAATAATCCACACATACCCAAAATGTAATTCACACCACTGTGAGACGGAACCTTCTACAAGTTCACCAGATTCTATATCTTTTTAGGGTTGCAAAAAGTCTTTGAAATATTTAATTATACCAATGCAAATTATAAAACGTAATGGATGTGTAAGTGAAGTGCCCTTAGTATAAATAAGTGTATTACCATGTTCAAACATCATTAATTTTCTCTTATATCCACTGGGCTTTTGTAATATATATTTCAATTAAGACAATAACAAAGCTGAAGATAAATTAGCAGCATGAGAAACACTTTTAATTAAATAAATAGACATTTTCACTAATTAAATCTGGTGAGTCAATGAAATAACCATTAACGATGCTTTATAGAACTGCTACTTTCTTATGACTTATAACTGCCATACTGTCAAGATTAAGCTTAATTAACATTTGAGCAAAAGCAGAAACACATTTTTTGCATTAATTTGAACTGCTTGGTGATGATGGAGGAACATCTCGGTCTTGGCCAGTTGAATCCGGATCTTCTCAACACTATACCATCACATTCTAGCAAGTTCAAAAGAAGTGGTTGGAGGCAGACAGAGTTCGATGCAATAGAACTTTTATTACGTCAAAAGACATCAATCAAAGAGCGAGCAGACCCCGGGATCACACTGTTGAACAAACGTTGTACTCGCACCTTTATAGCGAGCCTTCTTGTCCCTTATTGGTTGACCCTGGTGACGTTTCTTTGTCTGCAGACGTTTGCATTTACCTACACTTCCGTATACACGTGCCCTGGAGGCGTTCCGTCACATTGACCGCTTCTTGACCTTCACCAAAGTTCACTATCAAGTGAGGGGAGTCTTACCACTGGTCTCTTTCCCAGTTGTAACCTCGCATCTCATTAGCCTCAGGCACTGTGAATAACAATTAACCTTAACCTAAAAGTGGCCCCTTCGTTCAACCTGACACACACATAGACCTACACATACATGCTCAGAGCGAGAGTGGGCCCCTTATACAGACATGCGCTCTAGCCTTAACAGCAGAGTCCGCTATTCTTCTCCACATGAAGTTACACACTCATTCAGATGGAAACACTGTTCTGACGGTGAACACACCCTAACATTACACTATATTATACCAAGCATCATAGCACTATACTGTGAACACTCATCATTCCCCATTATGTTCTAATAATGAGCATTTCTTCAAGAAAAGTTATACTACAACAGTGAATTGATCCAGCAAGATGAGTTGACCGTATTTTACAGCTTACTATAAGACACTACAACAACTGAGGGATTGACTTTTGATAAAATATCAAAATATCTATATGCAAGATGTGAAGCCATGTCTTTGTCACATACTAGACGGTAAAACAGCGCTATCTACCCAGTTTTCCTTTTTCTCGCCGCAGTTGTAGCTCCTGTGGGTTGGAACTACATAATGAATGCTAATCTGTTATTTGTAAAGGCCACCAGCTGACCATGTAATTTCCCTCTGTAGGGTTGGGTGACTACAGCTCTGCTTCCTGCCAAGATCCTCAACAGCCATGTGATGGGGATGGGTTTGTCCCAGCGCGCTCGTTACCTGAAGAAGCAAAAGCAGGGTTAGATAGACGCATGGCGGCAGGAAGAGGGGACCAGCTGTGTTAAACACTCGTCCCAGGACCACCATCATGGACCAGGAAGACAGAATGTGACAGTTTCTGGGCCACATCCCAGTTTCCCTCCCTCCGATACTCCCCGTCATTGAGGATGTGAGGCAGCGGCACATGTATTCAATTCAAACATAAAAATACTGAACAAAGTGGTGCTCTTCATCAGCTTTAATGAATGGAACACTAACGTGGAAACTAAAAACTATTCCCAAATCCATCCATCCGTCTGTCTGTTAAACATGAGGGTGTATAAAGCCTAGATGAGGGAACAATTTGGATGCATGTGAGGTTTGAGGCCTCCGTATATTTGTGTGTATCTGAGTATGTGTTTACTAGCGTTAAGCCTTTTTAGTTTTACACTGCAAGTGATACTTACTTATTTTCTAGAGCACTTAAACATGTTTTATTGAGATCTATTGACATTAATAGCTTCATTAACTCCTACTATGGGATTTGTATTGCACTCAGATTTAGACGATTCTTCGTCAGCACCAATTTGAAACCCTTCGTTATCTCTTGTTTGGTTTTTCTAACTTAAAATGTTCTCAAAGGTGTTAATGTAGTGGTGAAGTCAGTGCGTGTTTCATTTAATGAAGAGGAACCGCTGTAAATGGGTAACCAGCAGAGAGGGAGATGTCTTGGTGGAATGTTAAAATGGGTGTTTTATTTTCTAACTAAATTGATTTTCAAATGAATTTGTACCACTGGTGTTACTGTTTTGCAGGACTTTCTAACGTAAAACAAAAATGCTCTCACAATCCATTAGATCCAGGTACAACAACATACATTCATCTCAATCTTTTCACTTGTATTGATTGATTTCCTAAAATGTTGAACCAAACCAAATGTAGAAATTAGGCAAACCAATTGAGAGCTGATACATTTATTTGATTTTCTCTTTTGAAAGCTACAATTTTGACCCTAAAGACACTTTTTACTGACACCGACTCTAGGTGCAGCAGCAGGGGACCAACTCCCAGTCAAGTGTTTTCTCTAACAAACTGTAATCAAATTACATTTTTCCAGCCATCAATAAATATTCATTCAAATAACGACAGTCCGTGTGTTATTCTTGCTTTCACCTTTAGGTCAATTGCTTTTTGTATCACATTCTCTATTTTTAGAATATCCATGGGACAGCTCTTAGCTTATTTTATATAAAATGGGAACATCTGATGGGTCAGTTCTAGTTTATATGTTGTGTGAAACTTTGTATTAGATACAATATGAATGAGTTTGGAGCGGTTTGGAGTCCGATATCACATGAGTTCCATGTCTGTAAACCGAGTGGCATCTCCAACATTATCTGTCAAAAGCCCACACACTTCTGTTTAATAAAACATGGCAGCGTCGATCAGTTTGTGTAACTTGTGCCAATATTCGTCATCTTCACAGTCCATACAAATGAGTTGCTTTTTCACGTCCTGCCTCTCTTCCCTCCTCCCAAACATCACCGTCCGGTTCCCATGCCAACAGTTTCAAGGAGATTTTTCCGGTGCACTGGTATGGAAGCTGCGGAAATGTGTCATCGCTGAGCGTGTAGGAGGGAGAGAGTCTCTGCGTGGAGGGATGCCCAAAAGGAAGAAAGGAGTGGGTTGCAGAGAAGTATATAAAGAGGAGCTTGGTGGTGCTCAGTCACAATCACTCTCTGAGATTTCAGAGCGAAGAGCAAAACAGGATCTCTGAAATCATCTCATGAAGCAGAGCCCTCAGGACTGAATATTAAACAGCTCGGCCTGATTGTGGTTTTCTTTTCTCAAGATTTTTGTTGCATCTTCTTTACCAAAACTTGTGGAGACATCCCATCCAATACACTAGAGATCTTCACACGAAAGGATTTAAATTCGAGCATCATCGTCTCCAGCTCATCATCCTCACATTCGTTCACCATGGCGACCAGCATGGACACGCTCCCTGCCCATCTGCTGTCTCTGGTGATGGAGGAGTTCCCCCACTCTCTGTCCACAGCTTGTGTCTGCAGGGCCGGACAACGTGAGCCCCGCCTCCGCTGCATGCAGTGTGGCATCATTCAGGAGGAGGAGGAGGAGGACTGCTCCACCCTGGAGGAGGACCAAGCCCTGCGGTCATTCCTGCAGACCGTGGAGAGCCTGAGGAGGAGCACCAGATGAGCTCTTCCAAAGAAAAAAACGTTTGATACTGACAAGTTTGACCCATTTGGCTTCCCTGCACCCCGTCTGGAGACCAACAGATGTCTAGAGTGTTACGGATTTGCTGACATTAAACCTCCATCGGGGGTGATATGTTAGTGAAAGTGGTGGACACTCTGTGATAGTGGATGAAACAATGAAGATCCGAAAGAATTGTAATGGAGCCTTTCCAAGAGCTAGTTCAACGTGCTGGCCCAAAAGCACTGCTTTACATATTTGATCTATATTTTTTTAAGTAAATATGCTTTATTGTATGATGATTACTTGCACAATGCCAAGCTGTTATTCTTGTTATTCTTTATCTTCATTTTCATATTGCCTGCTGCTAAGATTTTGAATTTAATATATAAAATAAAGCAGATGTTTTAATTTATTTCAGGGTTTGTCCACTGTATTATAAAGCGAAAAGAAGGGTTACATATTATGATGACACACTGTTCCTATTAATGCTGCTTGGAATGTAGCAATAGTGTTTTTTGTAAAAAATATTTGCTTACAGAAAGCCATTAGAACTGTTCAGGCCTTTCCATGTGGTGGCACTATTGATACACTTTTTTTCCCAGCCAAATATCACAAACTGCACTGCACAACAATCCCTCCTCTCAGTCCAGCCTAACTGCATATACACAGGAATCTGCGCATTGCCCCTGCTTTCCTGATATAACTGAACCATGAATTGAATTACCTTTGATTGTTTTTAGAGCAAACAAAGGACACAGTGATGAATCATGAGGCCAACACACAATCCCTCAGCTATCATGCAGTACACTCCTTGGACTTTGCAATAAACACACAATTTCACCCTTTTAACTGTGTATATTTTCTTCCGCCTCCTTTTAAAAAAACGAATTTAGTCCTCCTGTGACCAATTCATTTCCTCATCGTTTGCTATCAACACGGCGGTTTTTGCACAGTCAAGCTCTGCATAGTAAATCAGTGTAGTTAAAAGGCAAACAAACAATTATGAAGCACATATTACAGGATGAATGAGCAGTTTGAGTCATAGATACATTAGACTGCAACTGCAATGCTTGATGATTTTCAGAAGAAAAGCAACACATCTTTGAAAATATGCTCTGCACGTGTTTGATAGAAAAATGTATTTGAATGCAAATACTGTATGCAAGCTGCAACCATTTACATGTTTGGTTGTCATGCAAATATTTGTTATATACAGAATTGCTTTTTTTGTGATGGAGATTTATTTTTTAAATAGTTTTATGTGCATTAATTAGAACAACTCTTTCACTTCTGTTAATTCATTGTGGGGTGGCAATTAGAGGCTCCAAAATACTTGAGTCTACCATTGTTTAGTTGAATGATTATCTAAATCAAATTAAATAAATAAAAACCTACTTTTTGAGGAATCACATGTTCTCGACAAAAAATCACTGGGTTAAAAAAACCTAACTATCTTCTAAGGAGTTTGGTATATGGTAATGTGAGACCCTAAGCCTGGATATCTTCCGCCCAAATTGCTGACTTAAGGTGTACTTATTGAAAATGAAGTGAAGTTATTTGAAGCAATCTCCTCAAGTTACCCTCAGATTGCCAATGTACTCCTGAAAGAGCAGAGTTCAACAATTCTTAACATCTAAGTCTGTTTCTACTCGTATCTGTCCAGGAGCAAGGGGTTGCTGGAGTTTATTCGTCGCCCGTTTATTACAGGACCTAACACAGAGAGACAGCCACACATCTATAGACAATTTAAAGTTGCTGAACTGCATGCATTTGGACTGTGTAAGGGGAAAAAACCATGCAAATACGGGGAAGGACAAGCAAACTCTACAAAGAGTGGAAATTGGTTTCAAAATTCAGGACACTCTTACTGGGAGGTGACAGAACTAATATTGATTTTTTTATTGCAGCAGATCTCCAAAGGATTTTGTACAGTGTCCTGAAATATTCTGCTACCCTAAATCTCCACTTGTGAGACTTAAGGCACACACACACACACACACACACACACACACACACACACACACACACACACACACACACACACACACACACACACACACACACACACACACACCACACACACACACACACACACACACACACACCACACACACACACACACACACACACACACACACACACACACACACACACACACACACACACACACTAATTGTTGATCACTCCTCTTACAGTGAAGCTTGGAATGACTTTGTTGTTTCAAACAAAACAGGAAATTCTTTAGACAAATCGGCTGCAATAATTACTGATAATTTTCTGAGATGACTGGACTACATGTTGTATTGTATACAACATTGCGAAGAAAGCATAACAAATGTATCAAAATTTGTTTTTAAACGTCTTTTACATTTAAATAGGAGCATTTACGTGTGAAGAATGAAACATAAAGAATATATGTTTGTGTTAAGCTAATGTGTAGGTTTACATTATGAATAAAATCATGTTTAACTATAAATTATGTATTTCTTTCATTGAACAGTGACCGCACCTACAGGGTAACTTGGAGAGGGTCCGAGTCCGACCCTTGACAATTAACTACGGGGGTCCCTCAGGGCTCTGTTCTTGGTCCCCTCCTCTTCTCTCTGTACACAAACTCGCTCGGATCAGTCATTAGCCCGCATGGTTTTTCTTACCACTGCTACGCTGACGACACTCAATTAATTTAGTCTTTTCCCCGTTCTGAAACCCAGGTCGTCGCACGCATCTCTGCTTGTCTAGCTGACATCTCTCAGTGGATGTCTGCTCACCACCTCAAGCTCAACCTCGACAAGACTGAACTGCTTTTCCTTCCGGGAAAAGATTGTCCCACTCTTGACCTAGCAATCAACATCGGCACCTCTATTGTTTCCCCGACTCAGACTGCAAGGAATCTGGGTGTGATCCTAGATAACAACCTGTCCTTCACTGCAAACATAGCTGCTACAACCCGCTGCTGATTGATTGATTGATTGATTGATTGAAAAGTTTATTAACAGCTTGTATATTGGGTACAGTACAGTACAGCTCAAAACATACAATTGTTAAGGGGATGCAGACCAGAGAAAGACTTTCGTCTTGTTTACATCAGGGTCCCCCATTTCCAATTCATCATGTCATTTAAGACATATAAGACATATTTGACATACAGATGGCTTATTTACAATTTACATACAGATGGTTTTTTTACATACAGATTGCTTATTTACAATTTACATACAGGTGGTTTTTTACATACAGATTGCTTATTTACAATTTTCATTTTAGATTTTGTTCTAATACATCCTAACCGGACATTTAAGACATACCAAGTCTACAGATATACAGTTAGTAACAGAGTCTAAAATGCGAGTATATACATAGATGGGGGGGGGGGAAGCTGTCCATTGAACGACAGGTTGAGATTTGTACCATTACCGGGGCCAGTTTTGCAATGCTCTCCCCCGAAGGTGCTCTTTAAGAGAGGTTTTGAAGGTAAGTATAGTTTTACTTTCCTTTACAGTTGTGGGAAGAGCGTTCCACCTTGATGTGGCATAATTGCGAAACGTGTATTCCCCCTTTTTTGTGCCAAATCTGGGTTTCACATGATTTGTGGAGCTCCCTCTGGTGTTATGATCATGGTATTCCTTGACCTTTGGGAAGAATTTTGACATGTACATGGGTACCATAGAGGTGTAGTGGATCTTGTAGACCAGGCCCATTGCAAGTAGCTGTACTCTGTCGTCTACTCTAAGCCATCCTAGGTTGTCAAAGTGGGCAGAGGTGAGGTGGGTTCTAGATGAAAGGTCAAGCAGTAGTCTGACCAGTTTATTTTGCGATGTTTGAAGTTTTATTTTTAGCGCCTTGGAGGTGCTATGGTACCATGACGTGCAAGCATAGTCATAGTACCCTTGAATGAGTGCTCCTGCCAGAGTTTTCAGGGTGTTTTTGT